GTGGGCTATTGATCTCCCCTACCGCCTTACGCGGTTCCTGCGATGAAACGGCAAGGTAAATATTTATCACAAAAACAAGGGTAGGATGGAAGTAAAAAGAGCGGAAGCTCACCCAGCTTCGAGTGTTGCTCGTGGAGAATCCATCCCGTGGCTTGATGCGGAGGAACTCCTCTTCTTCCCCCTTATACAGATCGGATAGAATTTTTGCTAGAGCAGCAACTGAGTCCGGTCCCTTGCGCCCGCAGCGAGTGGCATCATCTTCCCTGTTGAAGTGCCACATGGGGTGGCCTCGATATTGAAGTGGCTGCAGCCCCGCATAATGCATATTGCCATAACCTCGGTTATGGTCAGTCCTGATTTGGCCAGCAACTTTATCCGGCCCATCAGATAAATTACATCTCTATCATCTTCCTCCTGTGGGCTCCGTGGGTGCCAGCTTAGGCATTTCTTCAAAGGGGCATTCTCGAACTCAGGAAGACCAATCCGTATAGGATCCGGTAGAGGTACATCCTCCATATAAAACCACTCCGAAGGCCAGTCCTCGGACGTCTTCTTCGGGGTACCGGATAGGTATCCGTTCCCGGCGATGCGCCATACTTTGGCTCCGCCCACTTGATATATTGACCCCCTCTGTGTACGGGGCACAAGGCAGAACAACTTCTTCCAGAGCGCGAAATGAGCTTCGCAACCTAGGAACAGCTCGCAAAGGGCTACGTAACCAGTGATGTGCAGTATGGAGGCAGGGGTGAGGTCGTGCAACTGGAGGCCGTAGAACTCCAGGAGCCCTCGGAGAAATGGATGGATTGGAAATCCGAGTCCCCTTAACAAATAAGGGACAAGGCATGCCCGCTCTCCCTTAGAGGGGTTGGGAAAGCTTTCCGCTTGCTCCCCGCCATTATAGGTGGCGAGCCCGGCTCGAACCGGGACCATATACGCTGGAGGGAGGAATCCTTGGGTCTATAGCTTCACTAATTGGTTGTGCGGGACGAAACACTTCTCCCAGTCTCCGGGCTTGGGGCTGCGGGAGCGAGTGGAGGAGCTACGCTGGCCGGCCATGTTGGGATGGATTTTTTGGGCGCGCTCCGATGAATGCTCGCTGAGGGAGGATGGTGTGGTTTAGATCTGAGGATCCTCGTCTCTTTAATAGACAGTTCATTCATATAGATGGGGTGGTAAATGTAAAAACTCCCTGGCTCCTCACATTCGCTTGACACGTGGAAGATGGCCATTATTGGACGCAGAAGCCAAGAAGCGCAACGTTTACGTGAAGCCGGACACTATTTAGCAGGTACTCAGAGTTTGAAGAAGAACCTGCCTTGCAATGCCGAAGACAATCTGTCATTGAAGCCTGGTTCGGGGGCTACTGAGGGAGTCCTGGATTAGGGGGTATCCGGACGGCCGGACTATATCCTTTGGCCGGACTGTCTGACTATGAAGATACAAGATTGACAACTTCGTCCCGTGTCCGGATGGGACTCTCCTTGGCGTGGAAGGCAAGCTTGGCAATACGGATATGTAGATCTCCTTCCTTGTAACCGACTCTATGTAACCCTAGCCCCCTCTGGTGTCTATATAAACCGGAGGGTTTAGTCCGTAGAACGACAACAATCATACCATAGGCTAGCTTCTAGGGTTTAGCCTCTCTGATCTCGTGGTAGATCAATTCTTGTAATACTCATATCATCAAGAACAATCAAGCACGACGTAGGGTTTTACCTCCATCAAGAGGGCCCGAACCTGGGTAAACATCGTGTCCCCTGCCTCCTGTTACCATCCGCCTTAGACGCACAGTTCGGGACCCCCTACCCAAGATCCGCCGGTTTTGACACCAACAGCGAGGACGTGCCCCGACACGCGACGACGGACACCTGTTCGGACATGACAAACCTAGTCATGCGCGGGCGGAAAGCCGCAGACGGACCCCATCAGAGCTACGTCGCGATACAACCTGATATAGAGGCGCCGCACACTCTCATTGCTTCACCGATGAAGTCATGGAACATGAATTCCCAGAAGGGTTCAAATCCGTGAATATAGAATCATATGATAGCACCACAGACCCCTCGGTATGGATCGAAGACTTCATTCTCCACATTCATATGGCCCGCAGCAATGACCTTCATGCCATTAAGTACCTCCCCCTGAAACTCAAAGGACCAGCACGGCACTGGTTGAACGGCCTGCCTAAAAACTCCATCGGCAGCTGGGAGGACTTGGAAGAAGCCTTCCTGGATAACTTTCAAGGTACATACATTCGACCTCCGGACGCCGATGACTTAAGCCATATAGTTCAACATTGTAACACCCACGATGCGGCTATATCTCCCACATGTCGGAGCACGATTTAGAGGCATAACCGCATGGTAGGCATGTCGCAAGAGGGGTAATCTTTACACATCCCATGTACTGAATAAGAAAGGGATAAAGACTTGGCTTACAATCGCCACTTCACACAAATACAAGTTAAACATACATCATCCAGAATACAATCAAGGTCCGACTACGGAACCAAAATAAAGAAAGACCACCCCAAATGCTAGATCCCCGATCGACCCCAACTGGGCTCCGCTACTGATCAACTGGAAACGAAACAACACAACGAACACGATCTTCATCGAGCTCCCACTTGAGCTTAGTTGCGTTATCTTCACTGGTATCATCGGCACCTGCAACTGTTTGGAAGTATCTGTGAGCCACGAGGACTCAGCAATCTCACACCCGCGAGATCAAGACTATTTAAGCTTATGGGTAGGAAAGGGTAGTGAGGTGGAGCTGCAGCAAGCACTAAGCATATATGGTGGCTAACATACGCAAATAAGAGCGAGAAGAGAAGCAAAGTAATGGTCGTGAACTAGAAGTGATCAAGAAGTGATCCTGAAACTACTTATGTTCAAGCATAACACAAGAACCGTGTCCACTTCCCGGACTCCGCCGAGAAGAGATCATCACGGCTACACACGCGGTTGATTCATTTTAATTAAGTTAAGTGTCAAGTTCTCTACAACCGGACATTAACAAATTCACATCTGCCCATAACCGCGAGCACGGCTTTCGAAAGTTCAAAACCCCACAGGGGTGTCCAAACTTAGCCCATCACAAGCTCTCACGGTCAACGAAGGATATTCCTTCTCCCAGGAAGACCCGATCAGACTCGGAATCCCGATTACAAGACATTTCGACAATTGTAAAACAAGACCGGCAAAGCCGCCCAGATGTGCCGACAAATCCCGATAGGAGCTGGACATATCTCGTTCTCAGGGCACACCGGATGAGCCAGACGTTGGGTTGGCATAGACCCTGGTTGCCCAGGGGGCGCCGGACATCGCTCAGGTTGGACCAACACTTAGGGAAGCACTGGCCCGGGGGTTTAAAATAAAGATGACCCTTGAGTCTGCAAAACCCAAGGGAAAAAGGCTTAGGTGGCAAATGGTAAAACCAAGGTTGGGCCTTGCTGGAGGAGTTTTATTCAAAGCGAACTGTCCAGGGGTTCCCATAACACCCAACCGCGTAAGGAACGCAAAATAAAGGAACATAACACCGGTATGACGGAAACTAGGGCTGCAAGCGTGGAACAAAACACCAGGAATAAGGCTGAGCCTTCCACCCTTTACCAAGTATATAGGCGCATTAATTAAATAAGAGATATTATGATATCCCAACATAATCATGTTCCAACATGGAACAAACTTCATCTTCGCCTGCAACTAACAGCGCTATAAGAGGGGCTGAGCAAAAGCGGTAACATAGCCAAACAACAGTTTGCTAGGAAAGGTGGGTTAGAGGCTTGACATGGCAATATGGGAGGCATGATATAGCAAGTGGTAGGTATCGCGGCATAGCAATAGAACGAGCAACTTGCAAGCAAAGATAGAAATGATTTCGAGGGTATGGTCATCTTGCCTGAGATCCCGCAAGGAAGAAGAACGAGTCCATGAAGAAGACAAACGGACGTAGTCGAACGGATCCTCACAACTCCGGAACAAAACCGAAGCTAACGAGGGAAGCAACCCGGAAAGAAGCAAACAACATAGTAAACAACCATCACATAACATGGCATGATGCGCAAACAATTATGATGCATGTCCGATTTAAAGAGGCATGACATGGCAAAGTGCACAAACAATACTACAAATTAAGTGGAGCTTAATATGCAACAAGTTGCGTATTGACGAAACACCACGTCAGTTATTTAGTTCCTCTCGTTTATGTACCCAACAATGTTAAATGTTATTAAGCATGGCAAGAGGTAAAGCATAAACAAACTAACTATCTAAGCAATTTAAATGGGGCCGAATACAACAACCAACAAATCCAGGAAATCCCCATATGCATTAGCAATTTGGTGCAACAACAATTTTAAAACATTCTTGATGTTGTTATCATGATGCGGATGACATGTTCATGTTTTATGCAATTTTTATGAAAAACATGTTGATAAGAGCATGTTACGAAGCATTCGTCATCGTGGCAAAAATGAAAGAGGTGCCACGATAATGATAACGGAAATGGTGCCACGCCAACATTTCAGTTCCGGTAGCTCAGGGAGATACCGGTGCAAAAGGAAAAGTGACGGGAGCGTGCCATGCAAGGATGGTGGGGTGCTCCCGGATACTAGGTTCCCACATGTCGGTGACAAGGCAAAAGAGGGGCAACGTGCACCGACAATTCGGACTCGAGGCGAACAAGGGTGCATCTCATACAACATGCATTCGTTCGTTCACGGGCGTCGTCTCGGGGTTATACCTTCGAAGCGTGCAAAACGGGATGGTTCGGGTTCGGTGCAAGTAGAGGAAGTAGATGTTCTCAGGGCGTTGTGGGAAGTAGTGGTTCACGCGACGGTAATAGAACTTGGCGCTTGCGTTACACGGGTCTTTGGTGACGGTAGTCGTACATGGTTTGGAGTCGTACTTGCCTCTTCGGACTTGCCGGTGTCGATTCTTGCGACGGTAGCAGTACATGTAGTCATAGTGTTCGGGTCATCGGTAGAGGTACTAGACGCATCATCGGGTGTAGTCGTACACGAGGGTCTTGACGAATCCACGTAGTCGTACACGTTCAAGAAGAAATTTATGCGGCGTCGTGGCACTTGGCGCATCCACAGGGTACTTGACGTCGTGGCACTTGACGATTTCGGAGACATCGAAAGACGAACTTGGCGGTCCTCCTTGACCTGGTACTTGGCGTGCATCAATCTGTTGACCAACGATGTAAATAGGCGACAGAGAAGTCTCTTGCGGTCTTCCGGTCATCGTGAACAGTTGGCTAAGGCAGGGCACATCTACTGCAAGAGGAGCCAGGGTTCCTGCCTGCCATGACGGCTTTGCGAGAGGATGACGAAGCAGCGGCGGTCAACGCCCATGGCGGTTCAGGGCGCGGTGCAGGGCTGCAGGCCGACACTGCTGGCGATCTGGGGACGCTGGGACCCCAAGCAGAGGAGCAGGTGCTGCTCCGGCGACGCATCGGTGCAGGGAATGAAATGAAAAGCACGGGCAGGAGCAAGGCCATGGCAGACGAGGGGCTTGAGCAGCAGCAAGAGGAGAGGCGGATGCGAAGCAGGGAGGCGGAGCTCCTGCAAAACGGCGGCAGCGCGGCTGATTGCTGGTGGTGGAGAGCCCCGGCAACGATGAGCTGCAGGAGGCCGGCCTTGAAGCGCCGTTGCTCGAGGCGAGGAGCAGGGGACGATGCCGACGAAGGGGAGGCCGGAGGTGGCGCTGGCCCGCGGCGGCCGCAAAGCAACGATATTGGCGCGCCGGAGGTGGGGACGGGGCCCTGACGGCGGTGTCCGACCGGGACCGGGCAAGGGCGGCGGAGGCGGCCTGAACTGGAGGTGTAGGTGAGCGAGACAGCGCGGCGGCGGCCTCGCGCAAGGAGGATGACGGCGGATCGAGAGGTCCTCCTGATCGGGACGAGGAGGAGGGGGCACATCGCGAGGAGGACGAGGGGGTCGAGCGAGAGAAGGGTGCTGCGAGGGAGGAAAGATGGGATCGAGGGAGATGGCTTCGGGCGTGGGCGCTCCTTTCGAGTGCGATGCGTGTGAGTGGCGGCGGTGTGGGAGGACGAGAGGGAGAGGATGAGATGGGATCGGGCATCCCCTTGGGCCGGCTAGGTTTAGGCAACGGACGGCTGGGCCTTGGCCTTGGGCCGCACTAGTCGTTGGGAGGCCCGGGTGGGCTGGCTCTCCTCTCTCCATTCTTTTCCTTTTTAAAACAAAACAGAGAGAGAGAGAAGGAAAAGAAAGAGAAGGTAGGGGCGGAATCTAGGCACGAGGACAATTTTCCCGGACTCATAAAAATATGAGGAATTTAAATAAAATGGTGAAAGGAATTTTAGAGAGAATAAAGTTCACACAAAGGAACATGTTTGAATTTAATTCAAACTTGCATGAATTTATAACCTAACCAAACTGAATCCAAATGGGCTTAAATTTTATAGGATGACCCTACATAATAAATATGATTTATGGCAAAAGATGAACATTTATTTGAGCAATTCTATTTGCAACTCAAATAAATAGAGAAAAGGGAAAGAAAGAAGTGGCATAGGGATTTGAAACTTGGGTGAAACCAAGTTGGATGTGAGCATGGGGTTGATGGAAAGATCAAGAGAATAAAAGAAGTTGCAATGCACATGAGCAACTAAATTAAACAAACACAACAATGGTATGGAGAAGATGCATGATGCAATGCACATGATGCAATGATGAATGCAACAGACAAAACAAATCACACGACGAAACTTGGAAAATATGGAACGCGTTTGAAGCTCCGGTCTTGGGGCGTTACAACACTCCACCACTACAAGAGGATCTCGTCCCGAGATCTAGGATGGCACCGGAGGGAAAGCGGAAGAGGAAGAGAAGAGGTAAAACTAAGTTGCTTCTTTGACAAACGAGTGAAACCAAAGAACCTTGAAAGGTTAAACCATTTCGAGAAAAAATAAAACAATGGAGATGAACAAAGTTCAAAACACTCCGTTAGAAAAGAGGAACAATGAAGAACCAATTTGGACAGCACTCCGGTTGAAAAGTGATATGAAACTTGATAAGATGAAAAGAACTTGAAGAGATGACACAACACTTCGGTTAAATGGATAATCATGAAAAGAACATGATCTTTGACAAAACAAGATGATGGGTGAATATAGCAACAATACAATGCCTCCGGAACGAATCTAAGAATGGAATCAAAAGAACAGAGGGGGGAACAACATCTTCTGCCTCAAATGAGCTTGAAAACATCTTTAGGAGAAGGGTCGAACGGAGTTGTTGGAAAACCATCAATGAAAAGATTAAGCTTGCTGTGGGCTTATGGAAAACATCTCGAAATCTATGAGGTGAAATTTTACCACCGAAAAGAATGATTGATAGGAAACAATGAAGAGATGAAAAGAATCCTTGACGAACCACCATGCGGAACCTCCATGAAGAACTTCGGTAATAAAAGAATGATCAAACGAAAGGGAAAGTAGAAAAGGACTCCGGGAGAAGCCTTGCAGTGATTAGAAGAAGCTTCACGATGATATAGTTGAGAGATCTTGGAACTCCGGGGAAGAAAAGATGAAGCATATCGAACCGAGAAATGTGACATGTTGAACCACTCCTGAAAGAAGAAACTAGATCATTTGGGTGAAACAATAATAAGAATTACGTTATGTGTATCCTTTGTTGGGGAACGTAGTAATTTCAAAAAATTTCCTATGCACACGCAAGATCATGGTGATGCATAGCAACGAGGGGGGAGAGTGTGATCTACGTACCCTTGTAGACCGACAGCGGAAGCGTTGTGACAACGCGGTTGATGTAGTCGTACGTCTTCACGATCCGACCGATCCAAGCACCGTTACTCCGGCACCTCCGAGTTCTTGGCACACGTTCAGCTCGATGACGATCCCCGGGCTCCGATCCAGCAAAGCGTCGTGGAGGAGTTCCGTCAGCACGACGGCGTGGTGACGATCTTGATGTTCTATCGTCGCAGGGCTTCACCTAAGCACCGCTACAATATGACCGAGGTGGAATATGGTGGAGGGGGGCACCGCACACGGCTAAGGAACGATCACGAAGATCAACTTGTGTGTCTATGGGGTGCCCCTTGCCTCAGTATATAAAGGATGGAGGATGAGGAGGCCGGCCAAGGCTTGGTGCGGCCAGGATGTGGAGTCCTACTAGGACTCCAAGTCCTAGTAGGAGTCCACCAAGAGGGGAGGAAGGGAGAAGGAAGTGGAGGAGAAGGAAAGGTGGCCGGCCCCCCTTTCCCTAGTCCAATTCGGACCAGAGGGGAGGGGGGGCGCAGCAGCCCCTTGGCCCTTTCTCCTCTTCCCACTAAAGCCCATCAAGGCCCATTGCTTCTCCCGTAACTACCCGGTACTTCGAAAAATACCCGAATCACTCGGAACCTTTCCGATGTCCGAATATAGTCGTCCAATATATCGATCTTTACGTCTCGACCATTTCGAGACTCCTCGTCATGTCCCCGATCTCATCCGGGACTTCGAACTCCTTCGGTACATCAAAACTCATAAACTCATAATATAACTGTCATCGAAACCTTAAGCGTGCGGACCCTACGGGTTCAACAACAATGTAGACATGACCGAGACACGTCTCCGGTCAACAACCAATAGCGGGACCTGGATGCCCATATTGGCTCCTACATATTCTACGAAGATCTTTATCGGTCAGACCGCATAACAACATACGTTGTTCCCTTTGTCATCGGTATGTTACTTGCCCGGGATTTGATCATCGGTATCCAATACCTAGTTCAATCTCGTTACCGGCAAGTCTCTTTACTCGTTCCATAATACATCATCTCGCAACTAACTCATTAGTTGCAATGCTTGCAAGGCTTAAGTGATGTGCATTACCGAGAGGGCCCAGAGATACCTCTCCGACAATTGGAGTGACAAATCCTAATCTCGAAATACGCCAACCCAACATTTACCTTTGGAGACACCTGTAGAGCTCCTTTATAATCACCCAGTTACGTTGTGACGTTTGGTAGCACACAAAGTGTTCCTCCGGCAAACGGGAGTTGCATAATATCATAGTCATAGGAACATGTATAAGTCATGAAGAAAGCAATAGCAACATACTAAACGATCGGGTGCTAAGCTAATGGAATGGGTCATGTCAATCAGATCATTCACTTAATGATGTGATCCCGTTAATCAAATAACAACTCATTGTTCATGGTTAGGAAACATAACCATCTTTGATTAACGAGCTAGTCAAGTAGAGGCATACTAGTGACACTTTGTTTGTCTATGTATTCACACATGTATTATGTTTCCGGTTAATACAATTCTAGCATGAATAATAAACATTTGTCATGATATAAGGAAATAAATAATAACTTTATTATTGCCTCTAGGGCATATTTCCTTCATCCTTCACCAATTAAATTGATGACAAGCAATGGATTGCATACAACTTATTCTCGTAGAAAGGATTAAGAGAGATATAGCGCAAACTTGCGAAGGTCTTCATGGAACCACCGGTAGGACTGAAACAACGAATAAATTAATATCATAAAGAAGGAAGAGAAAATATTGAATGAACCACTGTAAGAATTAAAAAACGATCAAGGAAAAGATATCGAAACACCGGGAAGAATTAGCACATGAACGAAGATGCTTGATTAGAGAATATTTGGATGATGCACCGGTATGATTTGGAGAACGAGAGCTGAAAGCTGGAATGAATAAATCTAAGATGATGGGATCCGAATGATCAAACTGAAAAGACTCCTGAATTGCTCCGGATAGGTGGAAAGAATTCTCACAATTGGAAATAATTATGAGAGGATGGCACGAAGCTAGAGCCATGAATCTTGAAGAGAATGGAGCAAGATTGAGAGATAAAAATCTCCTTCGGTCTTTAGATCCGAGAATGACGACGAGAAACACCTTCATGAATTGTTGAGATACTCCGGGATGACAAATAGAAAGGTTGAGCCAACAATGAAAAGAATTTGAAAGCGATATTGGAGACGGCAATTGACTAATGACAAAACATTCTTATGTCAAACTTGGAAAAGAATTTGTGAATAGCTCCGGGGGAAAATTAGAAGAGTCAGGTAAGATCCTGGAAAAAGACTTGTGGGTTAGGGCCCACTCAAAAGATACACCGTTGAACGATTTTAAAGATAGATTGCGCCGCTTGAGTTAAATGGCTTGAATGAGACAACATCCTCAAAAGAACTTGAATGAATGCAGAGTGGAAACACGAATCTTGGAGATATCCTCAGCACTC